GAAAATAATAACAATGGGAACTCTTGCTACTAAGAATAATTTATACATAATTTTGGGTAATGTGATTGGACAGTGTGTAATTTGAACCCTTTTAAGACCATCTCCATGACGACCCAGAGGAGATAATGAGCTCCCATTAGACCAAAGGAACAAGCTTATTTAATGGTAAAAGTCATGTGCATTTTATGTGTTTTTCTTCTTTTTTTAACGTGTTTATGTGTTTTTTTTATAATCTGGTTGGTCTTAATTTATCGGAACTCTCACGGCTGGGAACCCCGGATGTTAGAGGACGTGGTGCCTTCAGGCAAAATAAAAATAATCGTAACTCTCGCCACTGACATTATTTGACGCATAATTTTGGGTAATGTGATTGGACAGTGTGTATTTTGAGCCAATTTAAGACCATCTCCATGACGACCCAGAGGAGATATTGAACTCCGATAACACCAAAGGGGCTCTTCTCTCACCCCGGACCGTCCCCACTAACTCAAACTAAACGCTAGGTCCCACCGAGATTTGAACTCGGATCGCTGGATTCAGAGTCCAGAGTGCTTACCATTACACCATGGAACCCCGGATGAGACTAGCCCTGATAACATCACCCCAAATCACAATTATCGGACCTTTTAGGGCTTCTAAAGTCACTTAAATATGTAGAAAAACACTCCAACATGTCCAACATGTTCCGGTACGCCGTCCAGACGCTGTCGCCATGGAAACGGTCGTTTCCATGACAGCCACGCAAACCGAGACCCCGATGGAGTCGAAACAGAGGCAGATCTTCCAGTGCACTCTGTCCAAAGACCTGCAGGCCCTCCAGCAGCTCTTTGAGGACTGGGAGGACTCAGAGGAGAACCAGGACCGGGACCAGGACCAGGACCAGGACCAGGACCGGGACCAGGACTGGTTTGGAGAGACGGATGAGGCCGGCAGGAACGCGCTCCTAATCGCGTCCATGGCCGGAAGCACCGCGATAGTCCGTGAACTCATCACGCACGGGGCCCGGGTGGATGTGGGGACAGTCCGGGGTGAGAGAAGAGCCCCAAAAACTAAAGAAACCCTCCCTGTTTCACTAGGTTATTTTCAGATAGGCCTATAGATGGACTACAACCTGGAGAAAAGACCGAGATGTTTGGGGGCTGTGGAAATTCTTCTAAAGTAAAACAGATCATAGGTTATTTTATTTTATAGCCCTCTGAGTCTGGGATGAGGAGTACAGTCTGTCTCCATCATGGAGAAACCTGCACCTGTACCAAACAATCCTCCAGACAAAACATTAAGAGATAACGGATAAGGAGACCTTCTCTGAGACCCTGAAAGAGAAAAGACATGGTTTTGGGTTTAGTCTGGACTGAGATGGTCCTGGTTTTAGACCAGACTGAGGTGGTTCTGGTTTTAGACCAGACTGAGGTGGTTCTGGTTTTAGACCAGACTGAGATGGTTTTGGGGTTTTTAGACCGGACTGAGGTGGTTCTGGTTTTAGACCGGACTGAGGTGGTTCTGGGTTTAGACCAGACTGAGGTGGTCCTGGGTGTTGTCTGGACTGAGGTGGTTCTGGGTTTAGACCAGACTGAGGTGGTTCTGGGTTTAGACCAGACTGAGGTGGTTCTGGGTTTTAGTCTGGACTGATATGGTTCTGGGTCCTTCTCCCTCCAGGCTACACGGCCCTGCACCTGGCGGCCTGCTGGGGTCACCTGCAGACGGTCAGGACTCTGCTGGAGCTGGGGGCCGACCCCGAGGCCCGGACCTTCAGGGGGGAGCGGGCCCTGGACCTGGCCCGGAAGTACTCCAGAGCCGGGTGTGCTGAGAGCCTGAGACGGGCCCAGGCCCAGCGCGCCCCCCCCACCCCCACCGACTGAACACGCCTCATCTATCAGACCAAAACCAGCCAGAAGCTGCCCCAGACCAGAGGGACACTCAGACTCTTCTGTTTATTCAGCTTCTACACGCCAAATAAAGCTCAGAAAGCTGACGTCAAATGAGCATAATTATCCAGATTCCACATGGTTTTCATGCAGATAAAACTCTAAACAGATCTGTTTTATTATTCCTATCACATCCCGCTAATGCTAACGGGAACGGAACAGAAGTAGAGCGTGTAGCCACACAGTCATGCAGACACATTTTACTGGAAATCCAAAGAAAAAAGCAGAACAGAGCAGAGCGGCTGTACAGGGAGGACTCTAGAGGACCAGAAGAGACCAGCCGGGAGGATAAAACCCCTCCAACAATCCCTCCATTCTCTAAAGGCCACTTTCAGTCCTGGACGGAGGTGCCACGCCCTTTTTCCTCCTGCTTCCAGGTAGTTTCAGCTCCCACTTCAGTGTGTTTACAGACAGTTAAACCAGAGTTTGACCCAAGACCTCCCAAAGGTTTTTCAAAATAAAACAGAGCCCCCCCACCAGCAGTTTAAATCTTAAAATGGAGCCTAAAGAAAGAACTGGTTTGTAGTCATTGAGTCGGCACCACTGCTGTCAGAGTTGTGTCCACATCTGGAAAAACCTGCATCTGGCTCCAGCCAACAGCTGGCATAGGACCCACCGTCGCCATAGCAACCGGTAGATACCCAAAATGTCCTCCGTGGGTCCGGTGGCTCGGGCTTTCAGAAAAAAGGCAGAAGTCTCTAACCTGAATCCTCTTTCTGTCCACATGTTATCAACCAGGCAGAAACAGGCTCATCAAGTCTGGTTATTTACAGCATTTGGAGGAAAATCAGAGAAACAAATGTTCATTCTGCTTTTTTTTTTGTTTCTGAAAACAAACAAAACACAGAGACTCGTTGTTCTTCTGTTAGCCGATCCAGGACCGGCCTCCATTTCATAAATGTTTACTCATATTTGTGTTTCCATGTGCAAAAGTCAAAAGCCGAATGAACAAATGTGTTGATTCAGCCAAAAATCTGTCCAACTTTAAGCATAATATGGATGTTTTCCTGCTTTGAATCCAGTCTTTTCTTCTCATTTAGATTCAACCTGCTAGCTAAATCCTCCACTTTGATCAGTTTGATGTTCTTGATGTTCTCTTGGCGTTTTTCCAGTTCCTGCCCAGTGACCCTGACCCGGACGGTGGCTGGTTTGGGGTTTTCCTGGAAGCTGCTCCTCAGTTTAGTCCTTCCCGTGCCAGGTTCTGGATGTCTGGAGGCTGAAATGAGGAGTCTGACGGGACTAAAGTTCCTCAGTGCTTCTCGGGGTCCCAGTTTGGAAGTCTGGCCAGTATGGCCTTATGATCCACGCCAACACTGGCCACCAGTCCGCCTTTGTTCAGCGGGGCTCCGCTGTAGTCGATGTTCTCCCCCTTTAGGGTGGTCATGTGACCTCCTGCCAGCAAAAGCAACCAGACTTAGTTTAACGTCCCAGAACGAGGCCAATAAGAGGCTCATTTAGTTCTTAAACAACAAAAACTAACAGGTACATATTGGTGGAGACTGCAGGAAGCCAGGGATGGATATCCATCCACCCACATCCACGTCGGCCATTTTGATTAGGTCACCAATAGGAAGATCCCAGGCAAGAAATTCCTAATTGCTTCAGGGGAATATAGACATTAATTTAAAAATAGTGAAATGAATCTTGCAAACACGGAATTAAACTCTATCCATAATATTATGTTATGTTGATGTTAAATAGTTTAACCACAACATTTTTTATTTTTCACAATTATGAAGGGTGGAGGGTTAGGATTAGGGTCAGAGTTAAGGTCAGGGGTTAGGGTTAGGACATCGTTTTTCTTCCGATTTCGTATAGACAGTATAGAAAGCAGAAAGCTGCTAGTCACATGACCTAATCAAAATGGCCGACTTGGATTTGGGAGGAGTTGGACATCCAACCGAGGCTCCTACAGGCTGCAGAGAGAGGCTGATCAAAACAAACCCAGATTTAAGCATCTGTGGAATAAACATTTGTGTTTACACTGGTCTTGTTCGGTGTTTTTGCGGCTGTTTATCCCAAACTGTAACCTGACACTAGAACAGGCTTTAAAAACGGACAGCTATTTCTCACCCAGAGCGTTGAGGAGAGCCGCCCCGGCACAGATGTCCCACTTCTTGATGAAGGTGATGTGGATGTAGAGGTCGGCCTGGTCCATGGAGTGGGGCTCACTGGGGGGCATGTCCAGGAGGGACAGCACCTTGTATCCTGAGAGAGACCAGGAAATGAGCTCCTGCCTCCATAACTACAGGCTATTTGCATGGTTTCTGTTCTTTGCATTGCAGTTTGCTGATAATTCATCAGAGATAAAAATGCAAACGCAGATGGTAGGAATTAGGGACGTCCCGATCCAGCTTTTTACCCTTCCCATCCGATCCCGGCCTATCAGAGCATGTGTTAAAGTCTAAAGTTATTTATCTACTTACTTAGCTGTCAGACTCATGTTGAACTGGGATTTACTCTGATAACAACTTAATGGTTAGGACACAGACCTGTGG